ACACACACACACACACACACTCACACTTAATCAATCAATCAATCAATCAATCAATCAATCAAACCCTTTTTTTGTTTATTTGTTTTCAAATTTTGCATCTTCATTTTTTTTAAACACCTCATTTCCCTGCAAAAAACAGAAATTCATTTCTAAAAAAAAAACAGGTCAACTCAGGGACCATAGATCTCATGATAAAAAATGAAAAAAAAAAATCCTGCTTTTCTTTATATATATATCGTCACAAACAGAATATATATATTTATTTTGTTTAAATCGAATTTAATTTTTGATTTTTTTAAAATCTTAAACAAAGTCGGATTCCAAAAAACATAAAATAGGAGTGTAGGGTTTTCCAAGTCCTACTCCCCCATTTTTTTTAAATATTTTTTTACGTATTTTTAGGGGTAAAAAAAATGAAAATAAAAAACCAGGCCGCGGATTGGGCCTCATCGGCCGCGGCCGCGGTCGAGATTCTCGGCCGCAGCGGCCGAAATGCTGTCACATAGCGTGCCGCCAAACGAACAGCACCTCCCCTAAGGGAGACCTTGATGCCGCCACGTCGTCAATCCAACAGCACCTCCTCACACTCATATTAAAAAAACATTGGCGTCGCGCGACAAATCCGGCAGCACCTTCCCTTAGGAAGGTCTTGACGCCGCGGCGACAGTCCGGCAGCACAACCCCACTAAAATAGGTGCCGCTTGCCGCACCGTCCGGACCCTGACGCAGCCTTACCGCCGCACCACCAGCACAACGGTGGGGCAGAGAGCCTCCAACCCTTGGCTATGGCTGCCATGACCTATCCTCCTCCATCAGCGTCTCCCCTCACCCTGCAGATCTCCAACTCTCCACCAGCAGCACCTCCACCGGCAGCACCGCCCCATAGTAGCAGCCAACCAACATTCACTCAAGTGAATGGCCCAACAACACTGCCACAAGTGTGAGGCTACTGGGTGGAGTGCTGGCTTTTATAGCCAGCCAAAGGCATGCGGGCTGTTGCTTTGCCCACAGCCAGGCAAAATTTGCCGGTGCTCTTGGCCCTCGATCTAGATCAACGGCTAGGAGCTCGATGCCTTGGTTTTCCCCTAGGGGAACCAAGGTCATCCATTCCCGGAAGCATCTGGCCTTCCCCACAGGCCACATGCTCCAGGAAATGGTTGTACCCAGCCAGACTGCAGCATGTTCAAAAAAATGAACAGGCGCAGTCTCTTTACCTCTGGAACCTTCTATCCCCTGTATCTATTCCACGCCCGTGGACATGTACGTGGCCATTACTTTTCTTTTCTTCCTGTCTTGTCTTTTCTTTCTTTCTTTCTTCTTTCTTTTTACCCCCCCCCTCGTTTTTCCCTGTGCAGGGGGCAACTCGCCGTTCAAAACGAACGGCCGCCCCCTTTTTTAAGTCATTTCACAGAGTCGAACTAGAGTCAAACTCATCAGGGCCTTCTCCCCCGTGCGCCTGTACCTGGGTGCCTTTGGCGCCAGGTACGGCGTTGTTTTGTAGCCCGTTGCTCAGATGAACGGGCGCAGACTTGGCCCTCAGAAATAAGGGGGAGGAGGGGAACCTAAGGAAACCAAAAAAAACTTCAATAAAAAGAAAAAAAAACAAAGTAAAACTTACCTTTTTGGTTGTTGCTCCTCCTGTCATCGCCGCCAGGTAAGGTTTCTTGTTCTCTCTCTCTCTCTCTCTCTCTCTCTCTCTCTCTCTCTCTCTCTCTCTCTCTCTCTCTCTCTCTCTCTCTCTCTCTCTCTCTCTCTCTCTCTCTCTCTCTCTCCCCCCCCCAACGGTAACTATGCAGAGAGTCCCTCGTAACTCAAGTACAAGGTCCTCTCCCGCACTAAGAACGCGGCCGCCTTATGGCGGCAGATTCGTTCGATTTTGCTTATCCTAATCTAAAGTGACAGCCCGAACGGGCACTTACTAATTTTACTAATAAAAGAAAAAGAAAACAACAAAATCTAAGAAAAATCTAAAGCAAATGTAAGAATTTAAAAAAATATAAAAAGTAAAAAAAAACAAAAAGAAGAAAAAAAACTTACCATAAAAACGGTCGCCCATTCAGAACGGGCACCGTCATAGCTACTGGGATCCCAAACGTCCCAGTTACTTCGGACTGCGCCATCTGGCGCGTCGTCCATGATTTAGCTTTATTTATTATTATTATTTTTTTTTCCTTTGTTGGCTAAGCCAACGGTCACTTCCCGTTCGTGGATCACCCACGAATTGTCTAAATACATGCCCGAGTTCGAAACCTGAAGGATTCTTCGAAAAAAAATTATAACTTTTTTTTTTTTTTTTTTTTTACGATTTACGTGTGTCATCCTTGCGCAGGGGCCATGCTGAACCGCGCGGCCGATCTGGACCGCACGATCTTCACGATCGAACGACCAGATCCAACCGCGATGGCAGCGTTTGGAGTGGGCTGCTCCAAAAGAAGCTAGCCTGGTGGCGAGTGCAGTTCGATCCCAGTATCTACTGGGTGAGAATCTTGCACTGTAACCTACTGGGCTAGCTCCTATCACGAAAATGATACGAGCAGCTCTTCTATAAGAAGAGCTTGCCCAGTCGCTATCCCCCCTGCCGGGGCTTGCAGGCCCTGCATGCCTGAGGCTCTGCAGGTCCTGCTTGCTTGAGGCCTTGCAAGCCGCGCTTGCTGGCCCTGCCCCGTCGGTTAGCCATGTGACCACGGCTTAACTTGGCACCTAACTGGGTAGGCCTCGACATTGGCCTGTCGACTCCCTAGCTCGATGTTAAACCCCGCGGCCCCGACAAAAACGATGCACTGCCAGCTACTGTCTTTACTCTTGGACGCCACAAACGTCCGAGCTAAAGCTTGAAAACTTTTAGTCTCTTAGTCATAGATCAGGTCTGAATAAACTTTTGACCAACGTCAGTCTCATCAAGTCCTTCAATCCAGCAAAAGAGTTGATAACGTCCGACGTTGAGAAACCCCTGCCCCGACACCGCGACCCGAGTGCTTCGTCCAGGGCCCTTCAGAGGCTTCGCCCGTCTCCCACCAGCTTGCTGCCTAGGAAGAATGTCGACTCTCAAGGTTAAACGCTCGCGACACCTCACATTGAGAGGACTCTCAAGACAGAACTCACTTCCTCACGGTAAGAAGCAATGAAGAGGGTAGGTAAGGAAGAGAGCAACGTACCTCTTAATGCTGCCCCCAACCACAGATTTCTCACCGGCAACCTGATGTGCATTTATGATGACCGGTCTTTGCCTCGGCACAACCAACAGCAGAATGTGGTTCCACCTCGTCTTAATTGCCACATCAGCGATCTCTCATCATCTAGCGTACACCCCTAATGTCACCACATAGCTTCCTGGTGTGCCCACATGACCCTGGGCCGCTTTCCGTTCAACGCCGAAGCCTTATTACTACCCCACACTTCCTGCGAAGCACGAAACAGCTATTGCGAAGAATCAATGAGCGCAGTTCGAACCAGCTCCGACACCAAATTGCAAGGAAAATGAGCAATAGCAAGATGACAATATTCAGATTGCACAATCACGTTGAAAGCCAGATCGTATCACAGTGTTCAGAAAGCAGCATTGCACCAATATGACACCAATGGAGAATCGTAACACTGAAAACCAATGTCAATGAGAGCTTATTCCCGCCACCACCAACATGTATCCAGGCCCTTCTCCCTACTTGGCACTCGGCGCCCAGCCTACTGCCTGCACAGCTACTACTAGCCTACTAATTGACAATGCAACTGTTGACGTCAGCAGCCAACGAAGTACGTGAAGATGCCGCCCGTAGCAGACCATCGCCAATACCAGGTATGTGCCCTCACATCATCATCATCATCATTATCCTTCTCTCTCTCCCTCGTCTTACACCCACGTCTTTCCTCTGTACACCCGAAGACGACCCCTGCACCTCACTGTAGTCCGAGCCCATCCAGCTATGGAGGGTGGGCTATGGCGCTGCCCTCAGCAGCGCCCTGCTCCCTGCACGACCGCACGCGCTAGCACCTTGCCTCTCAGCGCTAGCAGCAGCCCACGAGCGTCCGCTCCAGCAGCGCTGCCGCCAGCATGCAAGTGCTCGAATCAGAGGCCAGGCAGCGAGCTCTTCCCTATATGGAATGAGCCGGCCTGCCTTCACAGCCTGGCTGGCCTGGGCCTCGGCCCAGAAGCTTCCGGTAGGACCCA